TATCTTATTATGTCCAAACTACTGCGGAGCCCCATTAAATGTACACACCAACCACAAAGACATCATCATCTAACCACCACCAGGCCAAAGCAGTGGCCATCACCTGCCCATCTAAAGCCTTCTTATAAAAGCCACTGAAGACATGAATGAGAATTGGTTGGATAATGTTGCTGAAAAATGGAAATAGAGGTATCTTCATGACTCACCCACTTTCTGGGAGGCTGCTGATTGCTACTTCAGGCTGACCAATTGAGGAATACTCCAGACTACTGTGCTGGAGCAATCCTCAATTGGGATAGTTGTTCCTTCCCTGCTTATGCACTCCTTACCCATGGCGAGCAAGTTCAGATTAGTTTAGTCAGAGCATCCGTTCAATAACTTTCCAGTGTGAAAGAAAAGCAGTGAGAGCAGAGATGCCTTTGTGTCTCTTAAAGGGCCCCTGATCCTTTTGACTGTCTTTCTACATTCTCCAGGGTTTGTGGGGGAAGGGGCGGACACTTTAATTAAAGCAGCTCTCAGAAGCCAGTCTAATTAAAGCACCCTCAGCTTCTCCTAAATTCAGTGTCCCGTGTATCAAAATGGCAGCGGGGGCACTTTAACTAAAGCTCACTTTCTAGTGCTACCATTTTGGAGCACAGGTACACTGAATACACATGATGCCGAGGCTGCTGGAGCATACTAATTAACACACTCTAGCAGACTTGATTAATTGAGTCTGCTCCAACGCGTTCTAATTAGAACGCGTCAGAGCAGGCATTGGATGCCTGTATAGGTGCCCCTAATGATCAAGTCCATCCTTGGCACGCTTACCCCACTATTTCTCTGCAGTTGTGATAGGATCTCTCAAAACTACCCAACCAACATTTTCTTCTCCAGAACAAATGCAGTATTATTTAGCACATCATCTGCATTTTCCAAGCATTGTATAAAGGTATAAGAGTGTGCCTCAGAGTAGAAGCTGTTGACATGCTGCTAGGTCAGGCAAACAGATCGCAATAGCAGGCCTGAGTGTGCGACTCTCTCCGAAACACACCCATGGACATATCCTACTGGTTGTTGCAAAATGATGACTCAGATTAATTGCAGTTTCTAAGAAATCACACAAGAGCATTACCATGAGTCACTGTGTAATTACCATTGGAGTCGCCATGAGTGTAGTTATCTTGCTGTTACTGGGTAATCACATCCGTTATTTCACTGTCATTGTGTACTTATGTTGTCACAACTGTAGGTACAGTGGTGATGGCAGAAGAGAGCACCCTTCCTGAAGAACATTACTGCTACTTATTCATACTTCAGGTAGCATCAGGAAATAGATTGGGGTTGGGCTGCACCCTACTAGGTGCTGCACAGCATACAGGGAAGCATAGCTGGTGTCTTGAAGAGGTTGAAGAACAAGCCATAACCTCTGTATGTCTCCAAAAAGAGACAGGAATGTGGGTGAGGAATAGTGAAGCAAATGCTGATGAGATCACCTGATTATAAACTAGCTATGCCCATATCATGACTGTTACGTAGAAGGGACGAGGTTATTACCAGGTGGCAAGGTGGCAAGGACCTTGGTATTTCCACCTAGAGCAGGATTGAGTAGTCTTTCAGAGTCACAGAACTTTTCTGATGTTCCTACTGCCATGAATGGAGCCATCCATATCTTTAGGATCTTCTGTGAAATTGCTGGGCTTGTGTTATGAGCACATAACTCAGGGATAATATGGTGACACCCATTGACTTTTTCACTTTAGTTAGAAACTGTCCATTCCTTCATTGCATCCAAAGCCAAAGTGTGGATGATGTGGGTGGGTGCCCTTAGAGTGAAGAGACTGAGTGTACAGATAGCTTCCCCTCCCACTATCTCCAGCACAGAAGCCAGTAACAGTTGCATTTCCCATGCTCTACCAAGCACAGGCTCTTCTTGATAATGCCTGCTGCTACACAAGCCACCCATACAGGGAAGACAGAAGGGAGAACCAGGCCCACAGTGCTGGTCAGCTGTGGAGATGACCACATGCTTTATCTCTTACAGGGAAGCACAGTGAGCATCCTTCTCCTACGGGAGAGCTTGAGGAATCAGCATCCCTTAGTGAGGCAAAATGCTTCCCTCGGTCCCACTGTAACAGGTCCCACTGCAACACTATTGGAGGCTCCAGGAGGGAAAACCTACACCAGGACTAGGTCCATAAAGACCATCTTATTTAGCTAGTAGGGAAGAAGGCAGTCTATGGCAGGGACTGGCAACCCCTGGCACATGAGGCCATTTCCCTCGGCATGCCACAGCCAACCTGGACTCAGTTTCTGCCAGCCACTGCCCAGAGCCTGGGCCAGGTTAAGCCAGGAGGCTGCAAACAGCTGCATGGGGCTCTGCAGCCCTGGCACCAGTTCTGTGGCTGCGGCAGCTGTGTGTTGCCCTCTAGGCACATGGCCGGAAAGGGACCTGGGGCCACACAACTCTGGCTCCTTCCCCCACTGTCCACCCAGAGGCACATGTGCAGCTGCCGCCACCACGGAGCCAGTGCCGGGGCTGCGGAGCACAGCACAGCTGTTTTCTGCCTTTCAGCGGCCTGCTATAGCTGCCCAGAGCCTGGGATGGCTGCAAACAGCTGCACTGGGCTCTGGAGCCCCAGCACTGGCTCCATGGCGGTGGTGGGTGTACATGCAGCTCACAGTGCATGGCAGGGAAGGGGCTGGGGCAGCGCAACCCTGGCTCCTTCCCCACCACCTGTCTGGAGGCATGCATGCAGCCACCACCAGAAATGAGGATCGGGACCCTTGTGGCTCCCCTATCTCTGGCGTGCTAAGTTGAGGCACGGGTAGAGGTTGAGGTGATTTTGGCACTCTGGCCAAAAATGTTTACGACCCCTGGTCTATGGTCATTTTATACCATCATATTTTATCTCCCCTGGGTCAAGTCAATCTTTTACCTCCTGTGATATAGGAAAGGAGGTCAAAGACTGGGCAGCAGCCAATCTAATTCACCTTCCTGCCCATGTAGCGCATAGTCCATCCTGAAACTAGACATGCCCCCAAGACATTGTTCCCAGAACCTCCCCACTTGGCCAGTGACATCCTTTTTGGAGCATTGGGTTTGCTCATTTTTCTTGGCTCCTGCACTTTTTCTTGTACTAATTTGGTAGCCAACCATTACAGCAGATCTTGACTTTCTGCACAGCTTATGTAACATCACTTTAGGCATCACAAAAATACTGGTGGGACTCTCACTTACCTGCCAATCAGAATAATCAAGGGTTATTTCTGTGCTACTCTGCTTCATGCTCTCCTCCTCACAGGGCATTTTGGTGGGAATGGAGCAGAACAGCGAGGGTGTTGCCTGCCCTGGAGTCTAACATTTCCCGAATTTCGGGGTGCTTGTACACATGCTGAGAGACTGCTCTGACATGCTGTAATTACTGTGTCAGAGCAGACTCAATTAATCGAGTCTGCTGGAGTGTGGTAATTACTGTGCTCCAGCAGACTCCAGCATCTCATGGATCATCATCCCTGCACTTCAACATGGCAGCAGAGGCGTCTGAACTAAAGCTTGTCGAATGAGCTTTAGTTCAAGTGCCTGCACCACCACTTCGAAGTGTGTGGATGCTGGAGTCTTGGAGCCACTCTAATTAAAGCTCTCTAATTCAAGTGCCCCCCACCCCCAGAGTAGGTACAAAAGTGCGCCCAGATGCCGGCGTCCTTGATGGAGTGTATTTGTGACCCTGCAGCCCCTGCAGGCCGTGCATTGCTTCCATTCCATCCTGGCTCCATAGGGCTCCAACAAAGCAAAGCAAGAGTCTGGAGCACAGTAGGCTGCAAGATGCTTATTTCCACCCATTTAGGAAAGTGAAATAGAGAGAGGAACTATTCAAAGTTATAATAAACCAGACTCTCCCTGCTGTCCATCTCAGACATTCCTGTCTGTCTCGTCCTCCTCAATGCCAGCAGACTCTTGAGCACAATCGGAGATAAGTAGGGAGTGTATTCAGCCATCCGAGACCCTTTTGCACTTATCTGTGGATGGGTTGCAGCACAGAACTCCCAGACTCCTTTGCATCCCACATCCTTTCATTACTGCCTGCCTGTCGCATGCTGCCCATCTTTCCCCTGTAAGGTCTAGCTTTTCCTCTCCCTAGTGAATGAGGTGTTATGGAAAGATTAAGTCACAAGGAGGAACAGTATTTTCTCAGATACACCCTGTCCTGGAGCAGATTCGCTGCTCTCATTCAGACTGTACTGGATGCTGATACTCGGTGCAGGTGAGAGTCTAAATAGCATTCCCTTCCCTTGTGTGACCTACACCTCTGTGCCCCATTCCCCTTGCCTAGGGGATGCCTGGCTCCTTGAAGGAGGGTGCAGCTAACTTGTGCCGTCTCCTACTTACTTGCTACCCTTCACAATGGCCAGAATGTACTATCTGCATGCTTGGGAGCTCTGAGGCACATCCTGTGATGCCTCTGGGCCAGTGCCTGGCTAATTTATCCTCTTGTTCTGGCTGTGCCTCTATGTCCCACTTAAGCTCTCAGCATTCACAACCATTTTCCAACCTCATGGCCACAATTTCCCATGTTTACTGTGGCATTCCACGATCTGTGCTCTGCTGGGTAGCACCTTACCCTTCATGCGCTCTTTTGGTTCTTGGAAGGCACTCCCGGAGGCATGAGTAATGATATCACATTCTGGCCCATGACCTTTAAGGGCCACATCTGCACTTTACAAGTAGCCTAACAGCATCTGTATCATGATGATGAGGAATCTAGCCTGTCAGCACTTGCATAGATCAGAAAGGTCGCACATCACTGTACTTTGCAACATGGTTCTTATTTGCCTCTTTTTTTTTTTTCCCAAATTGTTCTTTTGTGCTCGATCTGCCTGGAGTACTCAGTGTGCTGTGCAATTTCAAAGCAGCACAGACATCGAGGAGCGAAAGGGTAGCCTTGTGTGTAAATTAAAACTGCACCATATCGGAATGATGCCAATTAAAAATAAAATGAATGACTCTGCTCTCTCCGTAGGTGACCTGTCTCCATGATTTCTTTGGGGATGATGATGTGTTTATTGCCTGTGGTCCAGAAAAATTCCGCTATGCGCAGGATGATTTTTCTCTGGATGAAAGCGGTAATGTTCAACATGTTCTTCATTCTGTGTTTTACCTTTGATTCCCATCAAGTTGCATATATTGGAGAAAGGCCCACAAGTATTATATGTACAGGCAGTCCTCGACTTGCAGCGTTTCAAGTACGTTTTGCACTTACAACATTTATAAATTGACACCCTTTTTCAGCTTTCTGGCATCAGTTTTGACCTTACAATGCTTGATCCGATGCCACACCATGCCAGAGAACAAGTTCACTGCATTGCCTATCTCCCTGGAGAACATCTGTCCAAACTTTGTTGGGCAGTTTCTTTAAGAAAGCAGACGAGACTCCAGAAAAACCTGCAGCCAAGACTGCTGAGAAGAATCCAGTCAAGAACCTTTCAAAAAAGCCAGCAAAGTCACCTCAAGGAAGTCCTTCCAAATCAATATGATTGCTATTTACAATATAAATACATGAATGTAGCTATATTACTCATCTATAATTGATCGAGTACAAAATTCTGGGTTATTTTTGGTGAAAATAGGGTATCGGGCCTTGGTTCAGGAACCAATCCCCCATTTATAACATTGTTTCCTATGGGAAAATCGGTTCCGAGTTGCAATGTTTTGACTTAAGACACGGTTTTCAGGAACCAAGTGTGTCATAAGTCTGAGGACTGCCTGTATGTAAGTATGTATGTTAAAAAAAAAAAAAGATTTAGCATGTGTAATTCAAGTTCCTTCTGGTTTATTGAACAGTCAGTGAATATTGTAATCTGATGAATGCTGACTTATTTGCCACAAGGCAGAATAGGTATACTACTCATTACACATGCCAACATTTTATACTAATTGACAAGCAACAAAATCTGTTAGCCAGTATCCTCACTGTTGTGTCCATATGGCTCATTTTACTCTATCCCTGAGTAATAAGCATGAAAATTGACACCCAGTAATCATCACTCTTGTACTTGAAATAGGTAGTGTGTCTATAAAATGGGAGCAAGGAGAGTTTTCGGAGGAAATTCCATCCTCCACTGTTTGCTCGTATGGGTTGAAGAAAAAGCCTAAGAATTGAAACCCAGTGGGGAAAAAAATAGATGATGTCATCCCTTTTTTGGGTGACATCACCACTGTGCGTCTCCAGTCCAACCACAGCAATGCATTTATAGGCCTTGCATGTCTTTATGATAAATGACAGCCTGAAATCTCTACTAGCAAGGAACATAGATAGCTTAATTGTAGAGATTCACTAGAAGTTTGGTAGGTGCCAGCAGTTATCTAGTGACTGTAGGCATCTAGGGTTTATTTGTGTGCTGGTGTCCGTTTACGGTGGCAGAAAATGTGGTTCCTAAACTTGCAGTTCCCTGCTTCCTCAAATGCACTTAACTCTCCTGTGTCCATCAGTTATGTACTCTTCTATGCCACCAACCCAATGCAGTGCAAAAATCCAAACCATACTTTGTGTTTGATAACAGTGACAGTGTAAAGGAGCTCTGACCTCCCCATCTGGAGCCAGATTTTACTTGGCTCTTGCATTTTTGACCTGCATGACTCTGTTTAAATGCTGTGGTGGTCTTGGTGTCTCAAAAACAGTTTCCAAAATTACACTGCAGCTTTGCAGAGCAAAAAAGAATCCCTTGTTCAGCTTCAATGTGTCTCTAATCTGAACTTTGTTTATATTTTAATATCATGCAGTTCAAGCTCTGGGGGAGTTTCCATACTGTAAAACAGTTTGGATGAAATCCTAGCAGAGCAGCTTAACAGGAAGCCTAGATTTGTGTGTCCACGCCCATGGATGCTGCACATTTTTCCAGCTTGGCTGTCTTTTAACAAAAATAACCCTGGCCTGGCTTCCAGAGGCTGTGAGCACTCGCCGCTGCCATTAATATTAATAGCAAGGGCTGCAGATGCTCAGCACCTCTCCCAAAGAGATGAAGGTCCATTTGCTGTCTGCATCTGCCCGCTCTTCAGCATCCTATTTCTGCGTTGCACATTGCACAACACAGGGACTGGGGTTGTGGGGGAGGATCTTTGTGTTTCCTGAGGTCTTGCAAATGAATGTCACTTATTCAAATCTCTCCTGTCACGGGCACTTCTGCCTGCCCATTCGGAAGACATGTGCTCAGATTGCTGGCTGTTAGGTCCTCTCTGATGGGAGAGTAGGAGACAAGATGAGAAATAGCACAAGAAATGTTTTTGTCATGTTTTTCCTCCTGAATTCTCCTCAGAAGTTCATTCTTGTGTTTCCTGTTGCTGAGCTCTTGCGCTCTTCCAGGATTAGTTTTCCCTGTCTCTTCTATCCCCTCTGATCTTGGCAGCATCACCTTAGGCCACAAGAGGCACTTTCAGAGCCAGCTTATTAAAAACTCTGGAAATCCTGGCTGCATTGAGATCAATAGGAGTTTTGCCACTGACTTCAACGGGGTCAGGAGTTTACTCGCTGTTTCTGGGTGTCTCTGTCTAGGTACACACAATGGTCAAAATTCACCAGGGGTAGAACTGGGCGAAATGTATTGGAAGCATCTTTCTTTTTTGCCCAGAAAAATCAGTTTTGAGCCAACAAAACATTTGACAAAACCATGGAGCTCTTTTCAGTAAAACATTCTGAAAACGGCAAAATAAAACATTGACCAGTTTTTCAATGAAACGTTTTGAGCTTTTAATTTGGAATAATGCTTCGTTTAGAAATTTGCCTCACTTTTATTAACCGTTGTTTTAAGAAGTTAGAGGAAGCACAGAATTCCTTTTTTGATTCAAAAGAAAAAAATTACTTTTCCTCTTTTGTAGTTTAGTCTCTGAACAGAAAAATCAGTTACTTATGCAGCTCTGACCCACGATTTGCGCATGGTGTCATAGGAGGGACCACATTATTTCCTTTACCAATCAGGGAGTAACTAGGAATAATGGGTGCAAAGTAGTGGAGAGTAGATTTAGGTTAGACATTAGGAAGAAATTTTTTACAATAAGGGTGGCCAGAGTCTGGAAAGGGCTTCCAAGAGAGGTGGTACTGTCACCTAACTTGGAGGTCTTCAAGAGGAGGCTTGACAATCACTTGGCTGGGGTCGTCTGACCTCGGTCCTCTTTCCTGCCAGGGGCAGGGGGTCGGACATGATGATCCGTTGGGTCCCTTCCGACTCTATAATCTATGAATCATAGGGAAATGCTGTTATCTTTTAATGGCAGGCCCTTGCGTACTTCCCTTTCCTTGGGCATGTCCAACTACCATGCCTAGCAGCACCCTGATGAAGCACACTCTCCTCTTCTGTGCACACTTGAAATATTGTAGCCGTCTTAGTGCAGTGAGCACTAATTAGATCATTGCGAAACTGAGGTAATGAGCCCAGGTGCAGTGCTCTGCAAACCTAATTCTACTGCTACCACTCTGGCATGCACCACGCACCAGGTGGTTCAGTAGGGTGGAGCACAGCACTGCCCAGCATGGTGCATCCATGGGATGAAAAAGGATGCATACATCAGATAAGCCCAGAGTATCGGCCCTCACCCAACACATCCATCAAAGCATCCATAAAATACTTCATTCTTTAGCAAACATGACACTTTTCCTGAGTCTGATGTACAGCGTTCACTATTTTATCCATTGTTTGGCACTGCACAGCAAAGGGAGTTGTCTCCTTTCTCATTCTAATTAGCCCCATGCATTTTCCCTAGAGCACAGGGCAGTGGAAGAATGGAATAATTTTCTTTTGTTCTCATACTCCGTGACCCAATAGCAAACTCTTTAGCACAGTCTGGAACAAAAAAGAATGAAGCTGGCAGCCTCATTTCAAGCCAGGGGAAAAAAACTTTGAACAGTTACAATGAGAGAGAGAGAGAGCGTGTACTTGTTTTCAATTGACCAATCATTTGCCTTGCTTCATTTTCCCTTAGGGGATCCAGTCCAGGGAGCGTCAGATCAAAACGCATGCTAGCTGAGCTGAACTTTTCCCTGGAAAGACAAACTGTAAAAGGGAGCTGTACAGCCCCTGTAATCACCATAAGGTGGATCTAATCGGTATAGAAGAGAGGGAAACCCCCTTCTTATTGTTCTTCCGCCAAAATGGGTTAAATTCATACCTTCAAAAATGAGGAAAGTAACCTCCTTCCAGTAATCTCTCCATTCAAGGACCCCATATATTCAAGATTTGGGATGCTGGAACTTATAACTCAGTGGACCTTGCAGCATTCCTACTTCTTTCAGCAGCTTCAATTGAGTCTGCTTCATTTTCTCCTGTCCTCAGTGTGTGTGTGTGTGTGTGTGTGTGTGTGTGTGTGTGTGTGTGTATACACACATATATACACACAATTTTTAAGGAAATCATTGGGCTGTAATCACCTTGTCTGCCTAAGAGCATCAGTCGAAGAGATACAGCGCTCAGCAAGGAACAAGTGCACAGGAGACAAGACGTGTTTTTGTAAGACTCTTCTTCCTTGCACATGGTGCAACTCCCAGCAGACTGTGGCTTGGAGACATCGCTGAAAGTGGGTTTGTTCAGGCTGGGGGAAACGTTCCTTGGTGCAGATGGCCCAGGCCCTACTTAAAGTATTTAATGCAAAGCTATAAGTGGGACTTAAGTAGTGCAGGGAGCCTTGTGCCAGCTTTCCACACCTCAGTGCATTTCAGCCATTGTCCTTACTGCACACGTCCTCATTAGCATGGGCTGCACTGTATCACCCTTTCCCCTTGTCTCAGCTGGGCAAGAGGTGGATTAACTGGTCTTTATTCTAATTTTTCCCTGGTGTACATTGACCATTGTCATTATGCCATGGAGATTAATGTGTTGATTATTTAATGGGCTGTATTCATTACCTGCTAGAGACCCGTAAAACCAAGGCTCTGGGTTTCCACTGGCAGTAAATCCACCTGGAGTATTACTGTAGAAGTGCAAATCCCTTGCAGGCCACAGTAACAGGGCAAGAGACTGATCCTGACACGCACCAATTCAGTGCCTCTCTTAAGTGAACTCAGTTGAATTTTAATGCTGGCGGGAATCTCCACTCTGGTGCCCTGCGCCCCACATGGAAGTACCAACTGCCCAGAAGCAGAAGACTCTGGACAGGACTTTGAGACTATATAGCACTATGTTATCTCTGAGTGTTTTAGTTCTTTAGTTAAATCATGCTGTAGATACCTGAGTCTTGAGGTGTTTCCCATCGGTTAAACCCACCGCATATAGAAGGCCATTAAGACAACTAACTCTGATTGTCATTTGCTTTACTAGAGTGCCGAGTAATGAAAGGGAGCCCTTCAACTGCTGCAGGCAGCAAGTCATCCCCAACACCACAGAAGAGCTCAGCAAAGAGCCCTGCCCCTATGCGCCGGAGCAAGTCTCCAGCCGATTCAGGTAACCAACAGGATGGTGAGTGATTGTTTTCTGGTGAGTGAATATTGACTCTGTCCAGAGGGAGCAGAAAATGCCATGCATCTTTGGAGACAGCAGCTTTGTGCATTTCCCTGTGTGCCAGGCATTTCTGATAAGCATTTCTTTGCTTACAGTGGTGACGCTTTTATTTATTTGAATTATGAAGATCGCAACAGAACCAAAGGCCCTGTTGTATAAACTCTTGGAGGGGATATTGTCTATTCCAAAGCTTACAGGCTGAAATAGATAAAGCAAACTATCCCAGAGAGTTCTGAGATGCACCAGGCAAGTTATTCCCGGTAGAGATAAGGGAACCAGTACAAGTCCCGGGTTAGACCTTATCTGCATATAGATAGATACAGTTCTAGCCATGCACGTGCAAAAACGCTGAACCCAAATTGGAACAGGTGCAGAGTGAGCTACCAGGATCATGAGGAGATGGAGAGCCTAGTCAACAAGAGGAGACTGGGAAAAGTCTGGATGGGTATGGGATTGCTTTCTATACATACATCAAAACAGTAAGTGTCAGGAGGGAGAATAACTATTTATGCTAAGATACCATATTGTTGGTACAAAAATAAATGGGCTGATAATGGCCCTGAATAATTTTAAGCAGTTTCTAACCATCAGAAGGGTGAAATCCTGTAATCCTTCCAGTAGTCAAGGCAAAAACCCCAACCTGTAAGATGAAGTGTGATAAATTTCCGAGTGGGATTGTATGAAATGGTTGCTTGGCATAGCAGAGGTCTGACTGTAGTGACCCTGGAGCTGTGTTGCAGTCCAACATCCTATAGATCTAACAAAATGTGAGAGGAAAAGAAGTACATATCAGATGGTGAACCTGTGTAGAGAGAGCTAATGTTCATTCCATTTGTGTCAAATGAGGCATGTTTTTCCATTAGATTAGTTTGGTTCAAAATGACTTCTCATGCAAGGTAAATGTTATTTATTGTATAATCAAGACACATTTCTGCCTGAATCCTATTTAATGAAGGCCAAGAACTTTGCCCATTGGGGACAGCTTGTCAAAGGCTCATTTAAAATGACATTGAGACACCCAGTCAGTGTGGAAATAGAGAAAATAGTTATTTCCATTTGCTGCAGTTGCTCTTCATATATCAGGGAAGGAAATGCCCCCCTTCCTCCTCAGTGGAAAATGAGAATGTGTCTAGCATCTGCTCACATACCTGTGATGAGTGCATAGGGAATGCTCTGTGCAAACCTATGGTATTTGATTGGTGGAATCCTATTACAGCAGCAATAGGCCCCATGATGTTCATGTCATCTGTCAGAATGCTTCTTCCTGGGGAGCCCCAGAAATGGCTTCTCATTAAAGTGCCCAAACCCCCTGAGGGGGCAGGTAACAGAGCAGGTTCCAGAATACTTGCCCACCTTAAATTGGAAGTCCCCAAAGGGACAAGGAAGAGCAGGGAGACTTTGTACCCCCAGAGAGCATCTGACCAGAAATGTCTTTCCTTCTCCCACCCCATTTTTACCTTGTAATTCAATATATGAAAATGGACAAATGACCCTAAGTGATATTGGGAAAGGTTCTTTGAAAGCAGAAGTCTTATAATTGATTTTAAAATGCTTCTCTTGAGAAGCAGAACATTTATTGGGATCCCATGATGTTCTTAAAAGGCTGAAAAGATTTAGTTAAATAAATTGGTCAATGCTAGTGGTATGCGTCAAATTCTGTCTTTGATAGGTGATCCCCCATTGTAGACTTTCCTTCATTATTCCATTCATTTCTCAAACTCAGATTTGGTGTAGCCTAAATAGCTTATATAGACATCATAGCACCTTGTAATCCCTGGCTCTCCCAGTAATTGCCTGCATCCTGTATTGAAGGCATGGATCCAGAGCCCATTTTCAATGGAATAACTTCCATTGATTTCATTCCATTTGGAATTAGGCCCAGAATGTATTATGGGATATCTTTTAAATCTTCCTCATAAGCACCAGGTGTTAATAGTTACACTTCCAGAAGCAAAATTTTAGACTACATGGACAAACTCCAATATGATATAGCTATGATAACTATTGTGTTCCTAGAGAAACAGCTAGCTATATTAGTCTGAAGTTAGGTGGAAAGCAAGGTAGGGTGGCCTTATAGACTAACTGATTCAGAGAGACATAAGCTTTCATAAGCAGCAGCTTACTTCATCACATGCTATCAGAAGTTTTTGTAAGTGAAATCTGATGGAATACAAAAGCTTATGCTTCTCTGAATCAGTCAGTCTTTAAGGTGCCACTCTGCCCTGCCTTCTGCCTTATTGTGTTCCTGCTATCCTGTTCACTGAGTGATTCATTCTGAACAAAGAAGTGAATCTTGGGTTCTCTTACTGTGTTCAGTACATATCCAGTGTTTGCTTTGTCACTCTGTATGAAGGATTGTTACAACTGTTTATCATTTCTGGATATAGCAATGTCAGTGGTCATTACCGGAGTTACAGCCAGCAGCAAGAGACCATGGATTAAATTTATGCATGCGGTCATTGAGGGGGAAAAGCCTATTTGCATAAGCAATTGATAGGTTTTGCTGGATTTCAGCGGCATCAAATTGCAAGAGACAAGAAATGCTGAATAAGTTCCTAATTAATAGAAGATTATTTGACCTATTTTTAGGCAAATCTCTCATATGTTATTTGAAGAATGATGCAGAAGGAATCTTTGCTTCAAGTCGGACAATTTTTTTGCAACTTATTAGAGCACCTTCTTATACAAGTGGTTTCCTTTTCCTTCCTTTCCATTATGATTATTTTTCCCAGAAGGTAAAGTTTCCCAGATTCTATTATATTCAGACTCTCCAGCATAATCTCTTAGCACCAGTGTCATGTCCGTTAGCCCTGGATTGACCCTAAAACTGTCCACACAAACATTGTCTGGGCACTAATCATTACAATGACATTATAGTGATGATGATGAGGATAGTATAAGGACCTGTATACAGGTTTCCCTCGATTTATGCTGTACATGCGTTCCTGGAGAACAGTGCATGTCGGCACTGCTGGGCTGCACCGTGCTCCGCCTCTCCCCCTGTGCCTGGCCTCACCCCAGGTCCTGGGCTGCGCTATGCCATGGTGCAGAAAGCTGGTGTCAGCTGCTCCCTGGGGCCGCTGCAGCTGGGGCTGGCGTGAGTGCTATGCCCCGCACTGCCCGGGGCTCTGCTTGTCCGCACTCACCCCGACCCGTGCTGGAGCAGCCCCAGGAGCAGCTGACACCAGCTTTCTGCACCATGGCATAGCGCAGCCCAGGACCTGGGGTGAGGCCAGGCACAGGGGGAGAGGCGGAGCACGGTGCAGCCCAGCGGCTGCAGGCAGCTGGCCCTGGCCGCTCCCGGGAGCCACTGCAGCCAGGGCTGGGGTGAGTGGGGCCACGGCCATTTCCCCTCCCCCCACAGACTTACCTGCTGGGGGGCAGGGGGGAGGGGGCATCTATGCTGATCACATAACAGTGAATTTACCTCGCATATAACAAATTATGGGTCTAAATATGCTCATCGCATAAGAGTGAATTCGCATATAAAGAACCCGCATAAATCAAGGGAAACCTGTAATATAAAATAGGATGGTATTTTCTTGTTTCTCATCCTAATTGTTCAGTTTTTGTGTAAGACCAGATGGGAAAATTAGACTTTGTTCATCAACAGTAAGGATCTGAATCCATGGGTATGTAGTAGTGGATTCGAATCTGGATATTAGTCAACAGGATGGCCCTGAGTATACACATCATCAATGCAGACAGTGTGAGCCTTAAGGCAATTCTGTGTGCAGTACTATGCCTCATTCATCAACAAGAAAACTAATGCTGTCAGCAGAGAGTGGACAAAAGGAAATGGGTTTCTGTTATAGCACATGAAAAGAGAGAACTGCTTCAAGACAGATGGTTTGTGCTGTTCTGATGATGCAGGTTTGATAACCTGAAAATGCTGGATCCTCTTCTACTGTTGGATCCCAGAAACACTTGATCTTTACACATCAGCATAAATAAAATATTTCCTGCTTCCAAACTTCAGAGAGACCATTGTACAGAGGAGGAGCTGCCATGCAGTGGATAACACACAGTGAGGCGAGTCTGGAGACCTTGAGTTGTATTCCTGCCTCTTCCACTGACTCATTCTGTGACCTTGGGCGCTTCACATGAGCTTGACGTGCTTTCAGGTCCCGATCACTGGGGGCGGTGATATCTACATCTATTCAGCACTCTGTAGTGCACAAATGGAAACGCTGCTTTGCAGAAAAAATATTGAGGTGATTTTTACTTTTTCACTGTTTGGTGTCTAATCCCAACAGAAACCAAAACTAATGGGTCTCAGGCTGCCAGAATACAAAACAGGAATATCCCAGTGCAGGAGTCAGTGTACATGGTGTCCTTCTTACTCAATTGTGCCTTTTCCTTTTCTCCCAGTCCATCTTTTTCAGATCTTCATGCAGGAAGGCCTAATTGGCTTTACCATCTGTTGCCTTCCCTCACTGTTTCTCCCCCATACTCAAAAGAAGAAGCCCAGCTGAACTTAATTCATTTTTTTTACTGTTGACCAGAGCAATCCCTAGAGCCTGTCCCATATCCACTTTATCATTAATCCATTTATTGCTGTTGCAGTAAACTGTCACAATAAGCAGGCAAATGAAAAGGTGCAGCATTCCTGGCCGCATCCCTGCAGCCCCCCCAGCCTTCGCAGTCTGAGCAGCAGCTACAGAAACCAGAACTGCTTGTAGATCCCAGCACAACCTGTTCTCTCAGATGCTACTGTTTGTCTCGCAGGGTCCTGTGTCCTGTGGTCATTCATTTTAGGTCCTCTCCCTTTACTTTGTTTCCCATTGCTCCCCTCTGCTTGCTTACCTTGCTGAGCAATGACATCCTGTGAACTCCATGCCCTGGAGTACCAGCTTCATCTGAGGTCCACAGGGAGGATGGCATTGTTTTTTCAGCGAGCTGGTTGACATTTGAATCCACCTGAAAGTGCACAGTACACCATCCTTGATTGTGGAGCC